ATCTATTACATCCTGTACGGTTTCAAGTCAATTGGATAGGTTAGGTAGGAGTAATGGTGGTTGGGGTTCGCTAATGGTGGTCGGAGGCTGGTAAGGCAACAATGAAGTTGGAAAACGGGTGGCGGCAACAACGAGGCGACTGATCTAGAAAAAAAAAGGTGGAGGCAATGATAAGGCAATCAAGGAAGGTAGTTTACAGCGATGACGACAGAGGGCAAGGGTAGCGGCTGCCGATGGGGAGAATGGGTGTATTGAGAATTTTATATTTGTCCAAAAAGGTAATTTGGCTTAAGGAGGGAAAAAAAAACAAACAAACAAACTAGCAACAAACCTGTGCTACCCATGGAGTGAAAATTTTGTATTTTTTTAAAAATATAAAATAATTCATCGTATTATTTGAACTCTAAAAAGCAATTTCTATTAAAAAGGGCATCACTATAATCGGCATCTGATGATATAGCCGAATGAAAATACATTACCTCATTTGGCCAAACGTTTAGCTTTGAGCCGAATATTTTATTCACAAGTCGCAACTTGCAAGGTACACAGGTTATTCGGCGTTAACTTGTCCTTGCTAACAAACTAGCCAAGAAATGTATACAATTTTATAGCCGTATTGAGCTACATTTTATTTTGACGCTCAAATTAGTTCTAACTATTTAGCTCGGCATGCAATTTGATAACTATTGCACTGCACAGGTTATTCGGCGTTAACTTGTCCTTGCTAACAAACTAGCCAAGAAATGTATACAATTTTATAGCCGTATTGAGCTACATTTTATTTTGACGCTCAAATTAGTTCTAACTATTTAGCTCGGCATGCAATTTGATAACTATTGCACTGCACAGGTTATTCGGCGTTAACTTGTCCTTGCTAACAAACTAGCCAAGAAATGTATACAATTTTATAGCCGTATTGAGCTACATTTTATTTTGACGCTCAAATTAGTTCTAACTATTTAGCTCGGCATGCAATTTGATAACTATTGCACTGCACAGGTTATTCGGCGTTAACTTCTCCTTGCTAACAAACTAGCCAAGAAATGTATACAATTTTATAACCGTATTGAGCTGCATTTTATTTTGACACTTAAATTAGTTCTAACTATTTAGCTCGGCATGCAATTTGATAACTATTGCACTGCACAGGTTATTCGGCGTTAACTTCTCCTTGCTAACAAACTAGCCAAGAAATGTATACAATTTTATAACCGTATTGAGCTGCATTTTATTTTGACACTTAAATTAGTTCTAACTATTTAGCTCGGCATACAATTTGATAACTATTGCACTCTCAAATTAGCACACAGAAAATAGGCAAAAAGACGATTTTTATTAACAAATTGAGTACAATCAGCCATCATTTTACTCATGAAAATTGCCTTACAAAAATCTACAAAAAAAATTACATACAAGAAAATACTAATCAAAAAGCAAAATTACACAACTACTTATTCCTCAGGGTCAGACCCCAACGGCTCAACCTCTAGCTGCTTATATGGAATTAGTTGCTCCAATACCAAATAAGCGGCCACCAGAACTTTGAGCCAGCCATGTTTGAATCCCCGATTCTCAAATTTGGATACTTCCTCCACATATTTCTCCAAGGCAGCATTCTCGCCGCCATTTAACGCCTTGGAAACCTCAGAGTCGACAATTTCTTTCGCTTTCTTCGATTCTTCCAAATCGGCCTCCAGCTTCACAATCGCTTCCTTGGCTAACTTTAGCGCTTTTTCACTAACTTTCGCTCTATCCTCGGCGGCTATCTTGAGAAGATTTGAGCGTTTAGCCTTCTCTTCCTCGGCATTGGCCCCTTACTCGCTTTTCCACTGCCTTCTTGGCTTCAAAGTCGGCCCTGAGAGATGTCACCACCAGTTTGGCCAATGTCTATTTAGCCTTGCCCTTTTCGGTTTCAATTTTGGCTTGAAGTAAGCCGATTTGCTCACCGGCGTCATAATGACGCTAACTGATCTCTGCGATCTTGCCCGCCGTCTGAAGAAAAGCACACGGAAGTTAATCGGCATTATTTAACAAAAAATAAAATAAAATAATATACGTGAAGTACATACCAATACCGCCGACTGAGCAAGCTAGCGCTATCAACACCACGTTCGGCTCTACACAGAACGCAACCCTATCTACCCCGGCAAGGATATCGACGAGGACACACTTAGGGCCACAATGGGGTCCTTTAAAGCCGATGCGTCAGCCGAAATCGGCGTGTTCTTTATTTTAGGTTAGATAATAAACGACGCCATTATATCCTGCAGTTCGTCCATACGTGGCCGTTTATCGACTAGTCTTTTAAGGAATCGGCTCTAACCTCAGCGGGGCATTTTTTCCCCCTTTGTTCGACCAATCGATTGTCCGATTGCTCAATGGCCGACTTATCCACAATAACTTGCTCCGTTTCTTCAACAAGAGCTGGAGAAGTTTTAACCTCAACTGGAGCCAGAGAAAGAGAACCAGTCTGAATAGGCGGTGGGGGCTCAGGCCTAGCAACCTCAACCCTTCTTCGAGCCGCCAATCTTCTCGACGTTCTTTCTTCTGGCCATCTGTGAAAGCGACTCCCTGGCCATGTTTTCAGGATCCGTGCCGGGAAGATCTAAATTGGTGAAAATATCGTCTTCCAACAATATGTCAACCCGGCCTGAAATGAACATAGAGTTAATGCCGACTTCCTCAAAAGCCAAGTTGAGAGCCGCGTTGACTTCCTACAAATCGGCCTCGTTTGGTTTGGCGATCGGATCACGGACTTCACCTTGCTCCAAATCCGAATCTCTAACACCAATTTCCCTAAGGTTCTTATAGTTCAGGAAAATGAGTGCCGTGAGCTGTTGTTTGCCCTTCGGAATCGGAATGTGATCCGCAGCCAAAAAAGTGGCGTATGTAGGTTCGTATCGCAACAGTATATGGGCGGTCCGCCCTTGTTTTTGAAGGTTGGGACGGCCAAAAAATTCTAGCGCGGTTTTGACTTGTTGAAGCACAACGTCGTCGACCAAAGCAAAGTACTTTCTTCAAATCGTTACCTGCACAAACTGAAACGATTAGTACATGGGATTTTCGACGTTATAACGGTATGCCCAAATGAGGCAAGGGCATCACTATAATCCGCACCTGATGATATATTTGAATGATAACACATTACCTCATTTGGCCAGACGTTTAGCTTTGAGCCGAATATTTTATTCACAAATTGCAACCTATAAGGGACACATGTTATTCGGCGTTGTAACGGTATGCCCAAATGAGGCAAGGGCATCACTATAATCGCCATCTGATTATATAGCCGAATGATAATACATTACCTCAATTGGCCAAACATTTAGCTTTGAGCCGAATGAACGTATAAGAAATGCGTGGAAAAATAAGACTACACGGCCACCTGGTTCGCCTTTTTATCTAGGCACAAGATCTAGATGATCTTTACCCTCACTGAATTCTCAGTTGCCTCGGACAACGACCATGACATCATCAACACGCTTGCCAGAGCTGGCAAGCATAGTCACTAAATGATGGTTTGTGTCCTTAGCCCTAAAAAAGTAGCGTCCCTGCTGACCAGAGGATTTGGCCAAAGCATAACAATGCCGAATAGCAGGAATTCCAAGATTAAGCCTAAGTCGGCGGTTTAATTCTACTATTTCCATTATAATTCGGTAAAAGTTTACGTTAGGTTGAGAAAGGAGTAGATCCCAATAGCAAAGGACAGCCCTCAAAAACAAGTGAAGGGAAAAACGGCCTCCCTCAGTGATTGACAAAAGAGGAAAGATGATCGTACTCGCATCAGTCCTCTCCATGTTAACTACGCTCTCTATCACGAGTGACAAATGGACGTCGTCAAGGATAAAAAAATGGCATCGAAAAGCGGAAACACAATCCGCAGAAAGAAGGGCTTTCAAATGTTTCGCCATCCGAGCCAGAATAGAAAGTACTCTAAACTAAAAACAAACAAGGAAATAGGAGTTGGAATGAAGAAGAGAAGAACTTATAAGGAGCAGGAGGACAATGGGGAACGGATAGAAGTTGCAGAGGTCGTGAAATGAAAAAGAGATGTTGAGAGGCAACCAAGAAGCCTTGCGTATTCAAAAAAAATACATTCGAAGGGACAACACGATTTCAAATCGCATTAAATGAACGACGCGTACGAAGGGGCGGGAAATTATAATGATTTCTAAAGCGTGGACATTCTGACGCTTCAATATTAGAAGGAGTGCAAGCGCCGCATTTTTGACTTTCTAGGTTTAAAACCAAACATGCCGACTAATTGGTGTTAGTTAGATGTTTGGGGGGCAATTGTGGGGGCCGAATAATTATATACTAAGAAAAGCCAAATTCATTTGAAGGAAAATCAAGACAAAGACAAGTCGGCTCTGTCCAAAGGGGTCCTGAAGCCAAATATTTAAATCGGCCATACAAGGAGCCAAGTAGGAATTGGCATACGACAGAAAGGCCGAATGAGCAATCATGCACTGGATTAAGAGTGGGCCCGACCTCTGGGACCAGATATTAGTATAAATAAGAGGAATATCAACCAAAGAAAGGTATGTGAGAATAGATTAAATAACTTGAGATAGAAGCAAACTTGAGAGCATATACTAACTTGTCCGTCGGAGTGCTAATTCCGGCACTCCCAACCAGAGTGTTAATCCTTTTTCAGGTGGCAATCAGAGGATCAAGAACGTCTTACAGGACCTTAGAGTATTTCCAAACTACTTCTCCACAACTGTCAATATAAGTCCTTAAATTAATTCATTCAAACAAATTATTGATAATCCAATTCAAATAAGAATCAGTCCAAAATACCAATTGTTTATTTTCTCAATGGATACTTTAATTAATCTTTTTGCTTTACTTGGTTCAATTATACTTACTAGAATAAGCAATACATGGCATGTCAGAGTATCATCTAATACTAAAGCCTACTTTTTAAAGTATGCGTTGCCACAATTTAAATTTATAAAATTTCAGAGTAACTCATTTATCATTATAAATAATCATACCTTTTCACAGACGTATTCACAAGACACCCATCAAAATCAAATGCAGCAATTTTTTCTGAATCACGAAGGCCATCGTCCTATGAAAAGTAAACAAATCAACAACATGCAACCAACTTCAGATCCGTTGTCAATGCAGAACATTACCAATGTGAATGTCATCAACGTGTCAATTGAGTAGTCACCAAAATCAATCAGGACGCAAAACTTGAAATAGAGGTTCAAAAAGAAGGCCAACACTAAAGAAAATGTATTCTCATCAAAGTTCTTTCCCATAAGCATAAAGGTATGATATTGTTTGTGACCTTTGGTACAATACATAACATGTGACAGAAAGAATCACACACAGGGTTTCCTGACTACCTTTTTTGCCCAAATGATTATGCGATCAAACCAAAACTAGAGTTCTTTGCAAACAAATAGCACTTCTAAACCTTATTCTTGACTTATCTAGTAACAACCTGCAGCTTAAAAAACCATTCGTTAATAATCCATCCATCTCACCCGTTCAAGAAATATGACTGTCTGAAATGCCTTCCACTTTGGTAATAATGTCGCATCCTGAATCAGAAAATAATTGAATAAAAACAAGAAAAAATCTTGGTAAGATGTAAATATACATGACCAAGTCAAAATTTCTATGAAAAAAAAATTGCACCAATGTAGTACTACTGCTTTAGAATTTTACTGTGATAGAAAAAGGAAAAGAAAAACTGCCAATACATGGGATCCTATATAGAGATTAGAAATACAAAAATGTTCCAGGATAGATCATACCTTATACTTATCCTTGGTATCAGAAATTGAAAAGGATATGTTTGGCTCAGCTACTTCAGTAGGTGTAGACAACTAGGTGCAATTTAATGCAAAATAAATTAATTAAATGATTATACTTCACAGTAAAAAGGTACACTAAGAACATTGAGAATATAACTGTAAATACGACAAGGCTATGTTATAGGAACAATAACATTTCACTAAAAGCTAAACTATTATTAGGTCAGCTGCTTTTTTATAGACGGTCCTGTTAACTAACAGTGCAACATGTTAACCAATTATACCAGGATTCAGGAGTTCAAGTCCTAAGGCATGACATAACATAACCTCCCAGATCATCAAAGTTGTTTGTCCCACCCTCTTGGGTGGATCTACTTTGAAAAGCCTTAGACATGAGAAAGAGGCCTCTACAAGAAGACTGACTTTGACCAAACCATGTGTCACCTCGCAAGGCATATCACAGATAACCCATTGCAGCTCCTTAGTATGACTCCCAAGAGTAATGGTCCAACTGAGCCATCCTCTTTCTCTCTCTCTCTCCACCATTATTCCTAGAGGGCCCAGAATTTTTCCACATCACCAATGACAACCCACTGTTACCACCACGTTCAAGATCAAGAAGAAGATGTTCACAACATGACACATAAGGATATGATAACTATTAAGAGTAATTTTTGTCAATATTATGAGGTTCTTGTTAATGCGATCAACAGTTTCCTCATATTCAATAAAAATGGTTGTATTGGAACTCATTACTAGTTCGTTTGACTTCTGTGTGAACAAGAAGCTTGGGAGCTTTGGCGCTTTGTTCTTTTGCAGCTTGTTTTCCATTTGGGTGTTTCCAAAGGATCACACTTCAATGTCCACATTATCCCCTTTCAATATTTATTTGTAAAATTACCAAATGAATGGGTAAAGATCCAAAACATTTGAAAAAAACAAAAACAAAGAAAAGGGGTCCAAAGCCAAACCACCCAACAGCTAAGGTGGCTTTCTCCACAGAGCAAATAAATATATAAACTTCCATGAATTTTAGGTAGGATTATCCTAGACTTAGACATTGCATATCACAAAAACAAATCTATCAACTAGAAGACTTAAAGAGTTGTCATCAGAATACTAAGCCACCACACAAATGCATCCACATACCTTTGTTTTCTTTGAACTCTTATCTTCCAGGTCATCATTTTCACCTTCATCTGTTTTATGAACCTGTTAACGGAGAAATGTAAGTCATGATCATAGACAAATAACTTTATAGTGAAGAGCTTGGTATTGACCGATTTCTTCACCCTCGGTTGCTTAGAAATTCTCTCTTTGCTTCCTTCAATAGCATCTTCATCTCCCATGGCAACCTAAAATGTAGCAATATTTTGTTATATATTCTAATAAAATACACAATGAATACATAATACAGTTGTATATTTATAATAATAAAAAAAAATTAAAAAAAAACACAATTAGTACACATTAATGTATGTTTACGAGGGGAAAGATTGGATACACACATAACTAGGGTTGGACATAAGGTTATCTGACCCGCGAAAAACGCCCAATCTGAACCGCCCACACCTATTTGGGCGGGTTTCGCATAATCGTTAGGGTTGGATGCAGGTTAAGATTTTCCTATTTTGCGGGTTGCGGATTTTACCCGCATTTGCATACATTGTTTAGCTTATATTTTTTTGCAAAGTGAATGTCAGTCAATTGACTAATCCTAGCCTGTGTTTATGATTTGTTTCCTTCTGCACGTAAATTGGATAAATAGGTTGTAATTTATTTGGGATAAATCATTTGAAAAATAATGATTTCATGATAAGAAATATGTGATTTTATAGTCCAAAATAATATTTAAAAAATTGGGGGAAAGACCCAAAAAGAATATTTAAAAAATGGAAAAAAAAAAAACAAGCCCAACAATAAAATTTGAAAGGAAAAGCCTAATCCACAACCCGTCCACAATTACCCGCATATCCGCAAACCCTATCCGCACAACTGCAATCCGCACTGCGAGCGGTTGCAAGTTTAATTTTCTCCAAACCGTAGACATGCGGGCAAGTCCAAACCGCAAACCAAACAGTCAAAACCGATCCACGAGCACCCCTACACCTAACCTTTAGCATAATGCAATATAATATAAATTATACTTAAGACATCAGTCGCATAGCATCTCTGGGAATGTTTATACAAGTAACAACCATATAAGCATTAATCCCACACTTCCTATACATTGATCTTTTGGGTTGGATCCCTCCTAAAGACCAATCACACATTTATTTCATGCCACCAAAAAAATAAAAACAAAAACCCTTAAAACAATGTTGTTTAGTATACAACTAGTTCAACAAAATCTTTAAAACTCCTTAACGCTCTCCTTTAACTCTGCTCAACATCACAATCTTAAAAAAGTCTGCAATCACTTTTTTTTCTTTCTTATTTTCTTCTTTTGCAACTGTCATCAAATTTTGTATGGGCAACATAAAACATTTCTCATTCTAGGCCATAAATTCAAAATTGTAGCCAGTAGTTTAGAAGTAGTTGCCTTAAAAGATAGGCAGCAAAGCTATTAGATTTAGAATCCAAATGGTGTGATTTTTAGATAAATAGGTCTTCAAGCCCCCTAGTAGCATATGGTAGAACATAATCAGCGCTAATTAGTAATTACACAACTAAAGGACTTCACCGACAACATGGTTGAAAGCTTTCCAAGTTACTGTTTTCAATACTTACCAAAAACAATATACACGAGGACAGCAAAAGAACAACAAGATTTATGCACACTCTTGAAATTTAGATCAGCAAGTGAACAATGAAGAAATTACAATCGTTAACACTTAAATTGGCAAGTTACAAGCATAGATATTAGCCGAATTTAGGTTCAAATTCTCAATTTCCTATTTTTCTTTTTCAAGGATAAAGTTGATAAACAAATTGGGAGTAAAATTCAAGAAAATTCATTTTTCTTTTAATCAAGAGATATATTTCTCTATCTCCGCCATAGAATCTCATATTACATTAACTGGTATAACCTAGAAGATGGTTAAAAAAGTAAAACATCTGTCACCTGGACACCAACTAGGTTTATAGTAAATCCTAACTACCCAGTTATGGCATGGTATCTATCTAGCAGCAATGTATCAACCATAGGCACCTGCATTACTTTTTGTTCCTCAACCAAGTTAGAGTTTCAGTTATCCAACCAACTAGGGCTAGAATTTCATCACCTACCTTTTCTGTAGAGAGAGCACTTTCATCAAGCAATTTCTTCAAATTTTCCTGATCACCACTCTGTAAAATCACACCCAAAAAAAAAAAAAAAAAAAAAAAAAATTAAAAAGCGGAAATAAACTCTAAAATGAAACAGTGAATTAGCATAACCAATCGAACCAACCTTCAGCGAAGAGAACCCTTTGATCGCCTCTGGTGAGGCAATCGACTCCGATTTCATGGGAAAGCAGTTCAAGTGGTGCCATTTGGTCATGTCGAACCCTCGCTCGTCTCTGCTCACTGAACCCAACCTCAAAGCATTCGCGTCGATCTTCTTCGAGCATTTCTTGCATGAAGAACGACCCGACTTCGCATACTCCGCTACGACCTTCGATGATGCCATTGAAGAAAACTCCAATCGGATTATGAACCTAGGGTTTTTCGGGACGACGAATAGGGTTGAAAGGACGGAGCTACGGTGGAATGCACGGAGATTGGAGACTATAAGCATGAGCGATTCATCAGATGTTGATGGGAAATTCTAGGGTCTTTCATAGGGTTCCGAGTACAAAAGAACTGAGGGTCAACATTTTCCCGCCATTTTTGGTGAGCCTAGGTGTAGTCAGCGAAGTGGGGTTACAGTTGGTTCTAATCCCAACGAAGTTGAATCTCATGTGGCAAGGAAGAAACAATAAAAAATCAACACTATATATTAAGTAAAAACCCTTAAGACCGGTTTAATATGTCAATCTTAATTTTTTTATTTTTTATTTTTTTAAAAAAAAATTAACTTCAGCATTCATTAATTTCTCTCAATTCACTTGATTTTTTGACTATTCTGATAATTATTGCAGTATCTTTTTCAAAACAAATAATTTGTATATTAAAAAAAATTTAAAACAAATATAAATATCTATATCTATATCTATTTATTTATTTATATCTATCTCTAACCCACAAATTTTGTGAGAGTTCCAATATCTCAATCTAAATTTTTTTGATTTTTTGATTTAAAAAAAAAAACCTTAACATTTATTAATTTCTCATAACCCCCAAGCCTTATCCTTATAATAACACTTTAATGCATTAAGTATAAGTATAAAAAAAATTCTTTAAACCTTAGATTGTTAAATTATTTCTATAAAAAATCTTTAAAAACATAATTTATATATTAAAAAAAATTTAAACACAAATATAAATATTTATATTTATCCCGTGCATAGCACGGGTAATAAGCTAGTAAAAAATTAACCAAATATCCCTTGATTGATCTGATTTTTTCCTGTGTGAAGTCAGGCGATTTTCTATAGAGTTATGCTCAGATCTCAAATGATTTATTAAATATTTTAATTAATTTATTAAATATTTTATTAAATTTATTGTATAGATGTAAAATTTATACAAATTATATGTGTTATCCTATATTTTTTGATAAAATATTTAATAATTTATTTAAAATTTATAACATGTTTTATGCCCGGATCTCAAATGATTTACTAAATTTATTGTATTGATGTAAAATTTATACAAATTAAATGTATGATATCCTGTATCCTTTGATAAAATGTTTAATAATTTATTTAAAATTTATAACATTTTTCGTTTTTATGGACTATTTTGGGAAGTTTGTTTTTAGTCACTTTTTTTGATTTGTAGCAAAAGCCAAAAGTTGGCTTTCTTATCTTTTTTTTCATTTGGAAAGTTGGTTTTGAGCTAACGATGAAATTACAATTTTACCCTTATGGATCAAAATATGTTACATAGGTGAAGTTGTAAATATTTTAAATAAATGGGGGTAGTTTAGTCATTTTATTATGATTTGACATCATAAACAAACATTAATAAAAAAAGTCAAAAGTCACTTTTTACTAATTTCCTAAATCATTTGTCTAAAAAAACTAAACATTTAATTAAAAGCAAAAAAATTACTTTTTACGATCTACCCAAAATAAGTCTATAACTGATATCTAACCCAATATTCCATCTTGATTATCGCACCCCATCTAGCTCTAGCAGGCATCTAAGCCTACCTAGATCTATCGAATCACCACCAGACACAACCGTAGAGTAGTTATATAAGAGTTAGGCCAAGTTTGACGATACGAAAATAATTTACCTTTTTATTTTTTTTTTTTATATTATTTTTTTATTTTTTTGCATATCTTTGTATAAAAAGACAAAATACATTTATTTAGGTCATTCCAAACAATCCCTTAATTATATTTTTTATTTTTAGGGATTGTTTGAGGTGATTTAAATAAGTATAATTTTTTATTTTTTTACGAAAAAATATACAGAAAAGTAGAGAAATGATGTGGAAAAAAAAGATAAAAAAATAAATTATTTTGCAATTGCCAAACTTGGCCTTAAGGGTCCATTTGGAAAGATGATTTGTGGTTAAAATAGTCACAAAAGACAAAATAAGATATTTTAGTCACAATAAACAAAACATCACATCTAACCCATAATCATTACACTCTTCTCTCACAAAAAAGTCAAAAAAAACTAAAAAGCTAAAAAATCCTTTCCAAACCAAGCTTTTTAGCCTAGGCTAGAATAGCTAAAAAAACCAAAAAATCAAAAAGACAACCCACTTTCCAAACCAACCCTAAGTCTGGTTTGCAAATATTTTAATAATTTTCAAACTTTTTATAAAAAAAAAAATACAAAAAAATAAAAAAAATTAATATGATAATTTATAATGATTTTTTAATTAAAATATGTACTTAAACTATTGGTGGTGTTTGGGAACTTGGGTTTGGAATTTTTTTTTATTTTTTCCATTACAAGACAAAAAGTTTTACAAAACTAAAAAAAATAAATACAAACAAAATATCACATCCAATCCAATAATTATTTCATTTTTTCTCTTACAAATATCACATCCAATCACAAAAAAACCCAACTAACTTCCCAAACACAAAAAAAAATTTCTCCAATAATATCCTACAATTAAAAAAACATACATAAAAACTCACTTCTCAAACACCCATATTGTCAAATTATCTACTTAGATTTTGAACTATTGATTTAATTCACTCGGGCTTATTTTGAAAAGTGAGTAAAAAGTCACTTCTCAGTTTTTAACCCACTTTCCTTTCTCATAAAAAGTCAAAAAAAATCAAAAAACAATTTTTAACCATCTTACCAAAACACCCTTTAGTCCCTAAAGTAAATAAATTAAAGTCTCTTTAATTTCTAAATTATTGTTTGAATTTATTAAATTCTTAAAGTATTTAGGGGTGTGTCGAAAAAATGGTTAGAAGTTAACTTTCTTACTTTTTTGACTTTTTTTTTTTTTAATGTAATAGATGATGTGATTTAAAATTGATTAAAAACTTGACATTTTCGGCATGTTTCCAAATGGCCCCTTAATTTAAACCTATGTAATCCCTAAAATAATTATAAAAATAAAATATATGCTTGTAAATATTATAAATTAATACAATACCCTACCTAATTAATAATAAAATAATATATTAATTAAATTATAAAAAAAAACTTAACGAAAAACTTCAAAACAATTAATTAAATATTATAAAAAATACCTTATGCTCGCTTTTCAAAAACAATCGCGCTACGTAACTCGAATTGAAAGCCCCCGAATCACTCGAAATCCCAAAATGACGTCGTTTTGGGATTTTTTTTTTTTTTTCCTTTTTTCCTTTCCGTTTGTCTGAAGAAGAAGAAGACGTAGAGGAGGAGGAAGAAGAAGAAGGAGAGAAGAAGAAGAACATCATCATCATCAACAACATCTTCTTCATCACATCATCATCAGCTAACATTTTTTTTCCCCCTTCAGATCTTGATCTACTAGAAAATAAAATAAATTAAAATAAATCAACAACAACAACATCACCATCATCAACTGTAATAACCCCGATCTGTAATTAGCCACTAATCCGTAATCAATGATGCTAATGAGAGGATTAAAATAAAATATGTGTTTATTCTGTATTTTGCATGATATTTGGCTTTCTATCTGTTGCCTGTAGAAATATCTGTTTGGATTTTCCGCTTTAATATGTAAATTTAAAGCCTTATCGGCATCCGAAACCGAAATTGACTACATCAATATGTTATTTAGAATTTTTAGAACCTTGAGGCTAATTTTATTAAAAATTGTTTCAGTCTGATTAATTAAGTCGTGTTTGGTTAGCCTAATGTTCTAATTATTGTATTTTTGGCACCATAGCTTTATTTGAGCCTAATAAGCCCATTTGGACTCAATTACTTCATCTCCCTTTAGTGGAAAAAATCTAAGAGTTTACTTGAGAGAGAGAGCATTCTAGAGAGAGAAGAAGAAGAGATTGAAAAGGAATTGTAGGAATTCACCAAGATTGTGCAAGTACCTAGCTAATTCAAGACTATAGGTATGAATTCAACCCCTAATTTATGAATCTAAATCATCAACACGAAGATTATGAGTTTAATTGTGAATATTGAGCCTAGGATAAAGATTTGAGTTACAATTCATACATGCATGCATGAATACATGGAGTTTTGACATGTTAAGTTTGATTTTGGGCATCTATGTTGTTATCATGAGTTATTTGGCACATGCATGTGTAATTCATCATATTTTAAAGCTTAAATCCATGTTTTGAAAAGGATTTCCCTCATGCATGGAGCCTTTGAGCTCAATTCACTAGTTTCATGAAATTTGAAGATGAGAGTTTGAAAGATTTTACATGCATGCTTTGTTTCTTAAATCTCAAGATGGAATGTGAGTTTTTGGCAAAACCTTGAGCCATTATTTTTATGAAATGATCCTAAATTCTTCATGTTTTACAAGTTTACTATGTTATCTCAAGTTTTGGGACCCAAAAGATGTGTTTTGGATGGTTGAATTCGAGTTTTGAGCTTGGTGATCTAATCTGAAAATTCCAGAATTTGCATCCACGCTCGAACGTGGGAGTTCACGCTCGAGCGACCACTCTGAGTGCGTGCACTCCGCTCGAGCGACCAAAAGTCCGCTCGAGCGTGAATTGCAAGCTCCCTGAGTTATTTGGCACATGCATGTGTAATTCATCATATTTTAAAGCTTAAATCCATGTTTTGAAAAGGATTTCCCTCATGCATGGAGCCTTTGAGCTCAATTCACTAGTTTCATGAAATTTGAAGATAAGAGTTTGAAAGATTTTACATGCATGCTTTGTTTCTTAAATCTCAAGATGGAATGTGAGTTTTTGGCAAAACCTTGGGCCATTATTTTATGAAATGATCCTAAATTCTTCATGTTTTACAAGTTTACTATGTTATCTCAAGTTTTGGGACCCAAAAGATGTGTTTTGGATGGTTGAATTCGAGTTTTGAGCTTGGTGATCAAATCTGAAAATTCCAGAATTTGCATCCACGCTCGAACGTGGGAGTTCACGCTTGAGCGACCACTCTGAGTGCGTGCACTCCGCTCGAGCGACCAAAAGTCCGCTCGAGCGTGAATTGCAAGCTCCCGGAAGTTTCATGTCGCTTACAGATCGCTCGAGTGAAGGAATGTGCGCTCGAGCGACCATTTACATTTTGCATGTCCGCTCGAGCGTAAGAGTTGTAGCTCGAGTGTAGATTAAGACCAACCAGTACTTTTTTCCCTAGCTTGTAGATCACTCGAGCGAAGGAAGTCTCGCTCGAGCAACCCCTCTCATTTTGCATGTCCGCTCGAGCGAGGGAGTCTACGCT